CCCCCGCGAGCTCATCTCCGCCCGCAGTGCGTAGTACTCTGCAGTCCTGCGTGCTTTTGTCTCACTGGCGACAATCAGCCGGCAATATGTCCGGGACGGGGGCCGTGCAGGTGCGGGCCATCTCATCTGCGTTACGCGGCACGTATTCCCCCCCCCCTCTCTGACGTCAACGCGAGGACCGCGTACGGGAAGCGAATGCGCGAGCTCCCGACGACACGATGCCGTGCCGATGCGCCTTGCCGCGGAGACCTGCACGCACGACCTGACGAGGGTGACGCTGCACCTCGCGGGGCGCCGGGGAGGGCAGCAGACCCCAGAACCCTATCTACCCTGGCCTCACACGACGCCCGCGGCCAGCACCACCGCATCGCCAAGGCTTTATCGCCAAGGCTTCCTGGAGTCTCCCACGAGCAGCGCGCACACGGACCGCGACGCGCCCCGGAACGTGAGAGTTTTGAGAGATGAGAGAAAGACTTCAAGGCCCGAGCAGCGCGTCGGTCCGAGGGGTGGCCGACCGATGGAGGCGCGGCCGCACTGAGTTGTCACAATAAGCGAATTTGCGGCTCCGGCTCTTTCGCAGAATCTCCGACGAATTTCTGTTTGCAATCATATCTCTCAAACGATCTCCTTGTACATTTCGTGGTATATATTTAGTTGCGGAGCTACGCGGGACGTCGTCGTATCGCGCCCGTGTGTCGCGGAGCGGGAGGCTGATGAGCAACAATAAGTGGCTGCCACACGCGTCGCGGCCTCTTGCTCGTTATCGGTGTCTCGTTTCCTCGAAAAATCGATTACGCGACAGCGAGTGCGTGCACCGCAGCACAGAGAGGCGGGCCGGGGCCGGGGCCGGGCGCGGGGCGCGCATCACTCACGAGCCGGCGACGCGTCTCTGACGATGAGGGGCGGCGCACGAAAAACAAAAATGATTTGCTGTAGCGAAATCAATAGCTAAATTTGGGATAGCTAGTTATTTAGTTATTTTGCAAAAAAAAATCAGCTATGTTTAGCTAGCTACATATGTGAGATTTTAGCTACCCAGCTTTTTGTCTAGGCCTAGATAACAGATAGCTAATTTTTCGTGACATAGCTCAATTTTTATCTACATTGCTACATAAATAGTCAGTCCGTAGTTGGCTTTTAGTTTACCTACAGCTGATCATGTTTTTTTTTTTCATGTGCCACCGTGGCCGCTAACAGATAGCTACCTTTTCTGTGACATAGCTATTTTTTTTAGGTATATTTCTTAACACGTTGAGTCCCACGTGACCTCACGTGTGGTCACAATAACACGTGATTCTCCCCCCCCCCCCACTGGGACTCAACGTGTTAATAATTAGTTATCCGATATATTTAGGTATTGTTTTAGCTACATACCAGGTGGCTGATTCACGCCGCGCACTTCTGTAGTTATGCTGTACCGCATGCACGAGTGCAGGCGGGTTGCCTATTTGCTCGGCTCCTAAGGCGCCGTGGACAGGGGCGATAGGCAAGCCCGCCCGCACTCGTGCATGCGGTACAGTATACATACAGAAGTGCGCGGCGTGAATCAGCCACCTGGTATATCTCATACTTTTTCCGTGCAGCATGTGGAACATTCGGGAATCTCCGCGCTGGAGCACAATGTCGTGTGCCGGCGTGACAGTCTGTCTAGACGCGCCAATGCCGTGCTGCGGTGTGGTGTGTGTGATGGCGCGCGTGGCTCTCGCGGGGGGCGGCCCGGCGGGCGCGATGAGCTTACTTACAGCTCGTTGGAGCCCATCGCGGCCGCGATTATTCCCGTCATTTCCTCGACGGCTGTCGTCGTTGATGTGTCCTGCCGGACGGACAGGTAAAAGACCCTCATCCAGCGGGGGTCCGGGCCGGGACGCCCCGGGGGCGGCGCTCCTCACTGCGGTCAGGCCGCGGTGGGCGAGCGCGAGCACGCGCGCCCAGCCACGTGGGGCTCCCACGTATTTGTGTAGCACTTTGGTTCGGTCCTTACTCTCTGACGCGGAGCACGAGCGTGTGCGTCGCCGCCCTAGGCGGGCCCGACCCACCACCGCCGCCACGCCAACCGCAGAGATGTGTTTGTTTGAATCGCGACGGATCGCCACGAGCGAGGTCCTCATCAGGCGCCAAGTCGTCAACGGGATCGGGGCGGAGCGAGGAAGTTTACTATAGAGTGAATTTGATACGTTCCCTGACACACCACTCACACTCATTAACTGTGTGGCAGTGTCAAATTGATTGGGTTATTTTAAATAGTTCAACCTCGCATTTCCAATAAATTATATTTCCAAGACAATAATAGGGATACATACATTCACATTCAGTACCAACTAGTTGAGTTCCTTGCCTCAAATGCAAAATTTCAAAAATTAGCTGACATGTTGACGAGGAGCACACAATTCCACACGAGACGGTACGTTAACAGTATAGTTAATTTCAGTTTCAGAACATGAACTAGAGTAAGATCAAACTTAAAAAATGGTCAAACAATTTGCACAGATTGCTTCATAGGAAGTAATCAATTCATTTGAGAATTGCTGAACAACCAATATCAATGAAACAATTTCATACAAGCATATGAGTGGTCAGTAATAGTCACTCGAATACCATTTACAGTTACATTTTACAGTTTAACTCTTTCTACAACTTCAACTTCTTTGGTCTTACTAAATAATGTATGATACAAGTGAGCACAGTTGATTTAGATGTACAGAAAATAGTAGTATCAAGTTCATTCAAGGTGCATATGCTCAACTCTGCTAAATGTGCTGAACGATAATCTGAACTTTTATGCCACTAAATAAATTTGAAGTCCCCAAGAGAACTCTTCATAATTCCATGAAAAGATATTAGCATCTTCCTTCACATTTTATCGGCAAAACACAGCCGTCAATTTTGCAGACAGACTAATTTGAAAAGCTCATTGTGAAAAATTCTTAATACTAAATACCTAAAGGTCCATAGGTTGACTTAACAGTGAGGTGCTGAATCCATAAGAGACAATAGGATGATTTCACTACATATTTAAAATGAATAGGAAGTACTGAATGGATTGGAAAAATGCTTCACATTGTTACCAGTAATAAATTTTACAGTTTTGCTCTTTATGAAATGATGTATGATACAGGAGTACGCAGATGGTTTTGATGTAAAGAAAATAAGGAAGAGATTAGATTTTTTTACTACACCCAACATAAATTACAAGCATTAAACGCCGCAAAATCCAACCAAAATGTAAGAACTAATACATGAGAACCAAACAAACACCATTCTATACTACAATCCAAAGAGCCATACCATGATGTATACTACAATCCAAGACAACAAAAACCATGATCTATACTACACGATCCAAGACAAAGAAGTCAAGAAGTCAGAGATGAATGACAGTATGATACAATATATTATAATGTCAAATGATTCTCTTGTCCTGCCGTTAAGTGGGATGACTTCCATCTGGTTGAGCAGCAATGTTGAGATGCGACCTGGAACAAACATACAGAATAAATTTGTTTGCGAGGAGATGGAAAACATTTCAATACTGGACAAACTGGAATTAAACTTTTTCAACAGTTTGGACCATAATAAACATTGCTGGTGTTCTACTTTAGATGGGGCGAACAAAAACTAAAATTTTTACGCAAAAGTGCTTGAAATTAACAAGCTTCCACAAAAATGTGGTTTTAGAAACAAATTGTCCAGCAACAACAAATTGTCCAAAACAAAAGCAAGCATAATTCACTGTTATTCATTTAAAATGAAGGCCTTAAACTAGAGTGGAAAGATTGTTTGATGAATACCTTTTCGCTGCCCCATGCCAGTCGAACAGCTCCTCATTCACTTGACTGCAGTGGTGCTACCGCTCACTCTGCGCATCTGGAAGGAAAAGTAAAGTCTCAATCCGTAAACAGCACTTGAAAGAGTTCTTGTAACTCTTACAACAGTAATCAGAATACACTTTGTAATGAACTAATTGTTTGTACGAGAATGTGTGCATGGGGTCTCTGCCTGGGATAACTTACTGGTTGTCCTGGTTGCTTGAGGGGAAGACAGCGAAAGCAGCGTTCATGTTGAAAGCAGACCTCCATGGCGGGCGTTGGGATTGTCCTGGTGTCCTGACGTCCGCGGTGACCTCCTGCTGACCGCAGGGGAACTGGAACTACGGCCTGGAACTGGAAGAGCAACTGGAGAAGCAAACGTTTCACAGTAAACGACATACCAGAAATCAGCTGGCAAGCAGCCTGTCACCAGTGTGGATAGTTTGAAGTGGTGTTGAACTCGCAGCAGACGCGGTCCTCCAGCGGCGACTCTACAACAGGAACAATACTAGATTAAAATCATTCCACACACTAACCAAGCGAACTCGAGCCACTGTAGATGTCCACTTACTCGTAGACACGGGCGCGCGAGGCCCTCAGCGGCGAGGCAGCGTTGATGCACTGCTAGCTTCACGCTCCCGGGCTGCGTCCGAGTGGAGCGGAGTGGTCAGGACGTCGGCTGAGGGCAGCGGCAGCAAAACAGAGAACACGGCATTAGACTGGCTCCTAGGTAAGGTTGAAGTAAGTCACAACTTTGCCCTCGTGGTCACCCGGTCGCAATGTAACAAACACGCCCGCCCAGCCACTCGCCGGCGCGCTCCCTGAGCGCTGCGCCTCGGCGGTCCCGCGGGGGGGAGGGGGGCCTAGGGGGGACACCCGCGGGAGCCAGCCAGGGCAGGCCTGAGCGACGCGCTAGCAGCAGCCGGGAGGCGGCGGCAGGGAATGACCGGGGCCACTGCAAGCGGGCCAAATGGGGAACAAACAATGCTGTAGAGACGTACCTGCCACGAGCCGGTCCAGCTGTCCGCGGGAGCCGAGCAGGCAGGGTCAAGGCGAGGTCCGGCCGGTGACCGAGCAGAGAACTGCAACAGAAGCGAGTGTCATGAGACCATACACATTATCAAATACGCTGCGACTTCATCCCACACCACACCAACTAACCGTCTTATCCTCGACTGGAGCCAGCAGCAGTGCAGGGCGAGCAGCTGCCTGCTGTCCGCTCCGGCGAGCGAGACATATCCTGCGAACAAAACCACCATGAGAGGGGAAACAATACGAAAGTCAAACGGCAAAACAGGAAAATGGGGCTGATTACCGGCAAGCCAATGCGTCTTCAACATCTTCAAATTTGTTTACTCTCTTCCAAAAACGATGAGCTTGACAACAACCACGCTCGCGCCGCTCGCGCCGTCGCGACTTTCGCTTTAGTCCCGTTCCGTTCTTTACGCCGCGACTGTCGTACCGGTCGTGTGTTGTGAATGTGTTGTGAATGTGTGAAGGATTTTAAGTGGGAATGGGAACCTAACCCCTGAACCCTAGCCCCCAGCAGCCAAAGAGGCCGTATCTGACGTTAACCTCTGATGACGCTGGTTACCGTGAGATGCCACTGGCTAAACTGCAGACGGCACAGCGGGTCCCGCGGAGGTAGAGAGACTCGCCCACATCTCGCAGCCGGCTCCAGATGTCCACTGTTAACAAATACAACAGTAAATCACTACAGAATGGCTTGGGAGTGTTTCAAACAGTGTGATCCTGTGCGCTGGACCGTACCTTGTGCAGAGGAAAGTGCGGCCAAGTCTTGGTCCATCAAATACTAGTCGAACACAAGCAGGATGATCTGTTGTTTCTCGACACAAATGCTTGACCGTGCGACCGTGCCGGCTGGAAGGGCTCGTAATCCAGCCGGGGACCGCATGGCAGTAGGCGGGCCGAGAACGGCGACGAACAACACTGAAAAATTACACCAGTAAATCACTACGGGATGGTCTGGTAACTTAGTGTGATCATGAAGGCTGGGATTGCACATACCTTGTACTGGAGAGTTCTTTTCGAGCACGGTCAAGTCGCGGAGGATCGCGGAGGTGAACAGGGCAACTGGGCGGGCTCACTGACTCCGGCTGGACCGGGTGGGCGCCGAGCTGGGCTGCGTTCGTAGCAGGTTGTAGTAGTCGTCAAGAGCGAAGGGAAACTTGTGAGGTGAGCCGGGCTGCGACCGCGGAGCTCGGCTCGGGCGGGCTCTGCCGGTCGTGGTGGGGGCTGACGGTCGCTGCGGTCGCTCTCCTACCGGCCGTTTGGGGAAGGAGGGGTGGGAGAACGACACAGTACGACTATAGAGGGCGTCACCGGGAAGCCAAAGAGATTCGTCGTCTCCACACGTTTATTTTGCTACTGCCACCAAGATCTGCAATGTCGGTGGCTCCACTCCAGGCAGCTCGATAAATCTAGTTTAATTTTACTATTCGGGCAATTCCAGGAAAATAGTGTATTTAGATTGTCCGACCTATTTTTCTCCGACCTGTCGATTTTTCCAAAATCCCAAAAAGTGCTGTCCGACCTAGGTTTTGTGCGATCTAATTTTTTCCGACCCATTTTTCTCCGACCTCGTCGATATGCTGAAAGTTTGGAAAATGCAGTTATACTTTCCCGCACGTTTGGTTTTCCTACCCCAGGGGGCCGTAGCGCCTAACGGGCATTGCAGGTAGGCAACACGCACGCCTGCGTGCGGTACAGCATAAACACGAGACTGGCGGGTTCGCCTACCCCAGGTGACCGGAGCGCCTTACGGGCAGGGTGGCACTAAGCTTTAGACGTGAATCACCTCCGTGCAACCGGCAGTTAAAATACCTCTTAGAGCCGGATTCATTTTTCCAACAAAATTATCAAAAATGAAAAAAATGTGGGCCCTACCCACCCCGCTTTGACACGGGGACCCGCCTGTTTAACTTCGGAGTTCGGTATGGGATCCGGTGTTTTCAGGCACCCAGCTGAGGGCCGGGTTTGTTGACTATCTCGCTCACACCGGAGTTTACAGCC